TGGGCGTGGCCGAGCCCCGCCAGGTGCCAGGCCTCTGGGGGAGCCCGCCTGCCCCTGCCCAGGGCCCCTGTGGATCGGGATCTCTCGGCTTCCCTGAGCAAACTTTAACTGCGGCAGCCGGACGAGGGGACTGACGGAGCTGGAAGAGCGGCCTCCCTCAGCCAGGACGGCATCCCAGGGGGCTGGAGGGTGCCTCTCCCACCCTGCCCTCGCTCCCCTGGCTCTCCTGGTGTCTGAGCCCCGCCTCCTGGCCTGGTGCTCTGGGCTGGGTCCTTGAACCGAACCAGACCCGGGGGGTGGGGCGGGGAGGCCTGTGGCCTTAGATGCACTTGCCCCCAACCCCGACCTGGGCTTTCTGAGGGACTGGTCTGCAGTTCCCTTCTGACCCGGCTCCTCCAGTCAGGGGCGGGCCCCACCCACGGCACACCCACTCTCACACCAGCTCCCCTTCCCCGTGCCCCCGAGATCCCACAGACCTGGCCACTGTCTTTGAGGGGAGGGAGGCAGGGCCTCAGCCCCTCCCTCCCTCCAGCACCTCCCACCCAAGGCCCAGCCCTGGAAGGTGACAGCTGCCAGTTCATCTCCATCAGCCACCGGCAGTGTCTCAGGTCGGGGACCCTGAAGACAGGGAAGGGGCCTGGGACCAGGCGGGCAGGCATGCCAGTGCCCCCAGGGCTGACACCCCGCCCACCTCCCCTGCAGACCCCCAGCTCAGGTAGCCTCCCGCCCCCATGGGGACTCAGCAGGGCTCTAACAACCGATCAGCTGCTACTCACCATGTAGAAAGTGCCGGAAAAAACACGGGAAGAGGTCACAGCAGTGGTGCCTGTGTAGGAGTGGACTGAGCCTGTGTCCTGTGGGTGGGTGAGGAGTCACAGGTGGCCTCCGTGGTCTGGCAGGGAGGGGAGACCCTCCACTGTCCCCCTCAGTTGGGTAGGGAGGTGGGGCCTGTGCTGCCTGCTCCCTCCCACCTTTGTGCCAACGGGGGGGAGGGGGGGAGTCGTGTCCCTGGCAGTCGGGTCCTGCCCCTGCCTGTCGTCAGCTGCGTGTTCAGGATGCATTTGCTGCCTTGTTCTTCCTGGTCCCAGTTTTGGGGATGTCCTCATGGGGTGCACCTTTGGTGCTTCAGTCAGCCCACCGACAGCAGCCCCTGGCTGCCTTGTGCACCCGAAAGCCCAGGGCGGGGGCATCTGCAGACCCCAGCAGAGGGAGGGCTGGGAGATGCGGGCGGGGGCGACGAGAATGTGGGCACTGATCACGGTGAAGGCTGCTCAGGGCACTGGACCTGTCAGCTGGACGCCTTCAGCGGTGACTGGTACGCGGCTGACAGTCCAGGGAGAAAGGTCTGTGGGGGACTCCACGTCCCGACCCGACCGCCCTCGCGGCTGCCTCCCAGGAGTGGTGAGGTGGGGACGTTCCTCTTTGCCCAACCCCGGGAGTCCACGCTGCCCTGGGCACTGGGCACAGCACCGTGGCCATGGTCCCCAGGCCTGTGACGGGCCTGGTGCGGGGAGGTCTGAGGCATGGCGGGCTGTGTCCTGCCGTCCTGGCTGTGGGTGGGGGCACCATGGGCTCTGCTCCATCACCCACCACGAGGCCCAACGGAGCCTGGGCTCCCGAGTCCCCGCCCACCTGGCAGGGCCACACCGAGCCCTCTCATTGCCACTGAGCAGGGCCGAGTGTCCTATGTGGCCACCCTCCCACGTGGGGCTGTGGCTCAAGAACCTGCCCAGACCTGATCCCTGGCGCCAGGGCAGGGCTCAGGGCCGTTTACCCTCTGGCTCTGACCCTCCTCTCTCTTCCAGGCATCTGTGGGCTCCGAGAAGCTCTTTGCCCCGGCAGCTGAGAAAGGTAAGAGCACCTGTGGCCGGGCTCCAGCCTCAGGAAGGACCGGTTCTCCGGGGGTCAGCAGGGGGCCTCCGCTGGCCCCGGGAGTGGGCAGTGGGGGCTGGGCCCCGGCTGTGACCTCTGGCTGTGACCTCCCAGGCTGTGGGCCGCGTGAAATGTGGGGCTCATGGGCTCATTCCGGGGGCCCTCTCTCCTCAGGCCCCACGCTAGGCGAGAAGTCGGAGGCCAAGGCCGGGCTAGCACCCAAGATCTCGGGCCTGGAGCGCAGCCGCGAGCTGAGC